CGTAGCATCTTCTTCCATATCATTCTTGTAACCTGTCATTTTTAAATCCACTTTCAGATCAGTCTCAATCTTGTCAGGTAAAACCTGTTCCTCTTTTGTAACATCTTTGAAACACTCTTTATAGAGGCAGACACTCTTAACTCCCAGGGTCATCGTTTAAAAATATCCTTCAACATGTCCAGTGTTAAAATATTTTGCTCCATTCCATACTAGTAAGTCAAATTTAAGTGTTGTTCTCCTGTGATTGTAATCTTTAGTTCCTTCTGGTTCCTTCTAGTGTCCAGCCTTAAAAGTCTCATCCTATCATGTTTTTTGTAAGAGAATTCCAAACAAAAGCATTTTCCTTTTTTTTAAAATAAACTTTATTAAATTTCAATAAAGAATAAAATATAAGAAAGTTAAGAGAAAGAAAAAAATAGAAAAGAAATCAGAAAAGAAATACAAGAAAAAAAATAGGAAGAGGAAAAAAGAGACAACTTCCAACTTTCTTTGATACAGGCATAGATGTATTTTCCCATGGGAAGGTTTCTTATAATTTATTCCAAAATCTTATATCAAATCCATCTGGACCTTTAGTCTGTTTATAACTTTCCAAAATCAAATTTCTAATCACCCTTTTGCTGTTTATTCCAAAAGAAAAAAAATAAGTCCTTAAACTTGTATTTAAAACTTCTTTCGCTAAGGAAACTCACCCGGTGCTGTAAAATGTATTGATCCAAAGGTTCCTAATAGCTGACAAACAGTTAACAAGCAATTTCCAAAAGTGATTAGAAAAGGAAATATGCGAACCCAGTGTCCTTAAGGTCACTGACCATGGTTTTAGCAAGATGGCTATTCCTTTGTCTCCCAAAACTCTAAACCCACCGGAGACCGCTGTCTTGCGGTCTCCTTGCAAGGAGCAACTGTCTGGAGCACTTGTGAGCGATCTCAAGTCCTTTCATTGTCCAAAGAAGAATTATGAAGAGCTGGTCTACTTGCTAGCTTTTCATTCCGCCACAGTCATCAGTTCCGCAGTTCTCCATTTCTTCCCTGGAACTCAAGAAATATGAAGCAACTTTAGGAAAAAAAGATGTTGAATCAGCAACAATAGCAAATCATGTTTTAATAAAAATTGAGCAACAACTTTCATAATTTAAATTGTCTTTTATTCTGTGGCCCAAAGATCTCCTGGGATTAGTTATCATATATTTTAATCATTACTTGGTTAAAACTGCCAACTGAATGAGAACATGTTTTTGATATGAACATCATTGCACTGGAGTATGAAAAGTTCTAAGATGGAACTTATAGTATAAAGTATATAACCTTTTTCATGCATTTATTTGAGCAGTTTATCTGTGATACAAATGACAGTGGAGAAAGTGCTTCATTCAGAATCAAGCTTCCATTATATACTTATTGTACCTCATAATTTAGATTTATGAGGAAAGAACCAATCTTGTTTTAGCTGTAGAGATATAGATGCTAAAATCTAATGAATTGGGTTGAGATAAGGATATAATCCAATTATTCCTGCTCATAAGTTGCTTAGTCCTTACGACGTTATTAGTGTTTAGGTGCATGTAACCATATTATTCCCCGTGTTTATCATCTAGCTAAAGCACCAAAGGCAATTTTGCACTCCAGATGTTCATCAGGGCCCCTTGACCTATTCAAAGCTTTCCAGATTGAAGTGAAAGTAGAGCCTAGGAACTGATTTGTGCATGGTTTCAATTAGAGATGTATCCAGAACAGAATTTCAGTCTCATAGGAAATTCAGCTATGTACAAAACTTAACTTTTGCTCCAAGGAAGAGTCAGAGATATAGAGAATATCTGTCAGAATATAAGAAATGAATTCTGTATAAAAAGTTCATTGTATTTCAATACAGATAACAAACATTCATCTGATTTTTATCCAGCCTAATAGAATCCATCAATTGGGTAAATGGTAGATTTCCAGGGAACTGTTGCTTCAGATCTTCATAGCTCATACATCATGGGAGACTTGTAATTGCATTACTGAGTATCTTGTCCCTCAAAAAGAAATAATAATTCCTGATGTTATTGATAACTTTTATGACATAGTGTCATTCTGGGCATGTTCCCCTCACCACGGCAGAATTGTTCCATTTCTCCAGCTATCACTGTCTGACTTCTCCAAACCAGGAGAGAGGAAAAGATGCAGCTGGTCATAAAAGACAACATAACTATATGAGGAAATCTCCTTCCTAATTCATGTTTGATTTTAGTGTACAAATAAGTAGCCTTAACGCATGCTGCCAGTAGTGTCAGCTAAATATCAAAAGTTGTTTATTGCTGTTTGTAAAAGCAGGGCTTAGATACAAAGCTGCCTCACTTGGCAGGTGAGCATGTTATTTCTATCCTGCAAAGGAAAGGTCTTGATTCAGAGGTCATGTACAAAAAACAATACGGGAAGTACAGTTAAAGATGTATATTCAGTATATGCAGCCTTCCTCCTTGATAGTTATCTAATGGTCGCATTCTGATATTGTTAATTATTATGTATAGTATTCCAACATTTTCCAAAAACTTTCCTTTCTGTTCAGTAAGATCCTGAACTTTGGTCCATCAAGGTTATGAGAGCTAGTATTTCTTTGTATTTATTTCTCCTTTAACTGCTTAGAAAAATTGTGGTGGTGGGCTCTGTCCTTTGCTATCTTCTTTCTTTTCTCTTAGATATTTGAACTGAACAGACGCATCTCTCTTATTGAATGGGTGCTCAGCCGCCTTGAGGAAAAGATCCTAGTTCAGTCTGAGAAGGTAAAATCAAGAACAGAGGGTGATATGTATGTCCAGGTTGCCATTTATTCAGCTCTGCTCAGTAAGCCTGATCTAACTATAAGGCTGTTCAGACATTCTGGGCTACTCTCAAAGAGACCTTGATGCCACGGTGCTCTCCATTCCTAGCCGTGCTTTAGCACCTTGCCCGTCTTCTGACTTTCAGCCCAGAGCATTCAGGGGGCTAGAGAGTTTTATTGGTAAGTACATCAGAGACCCGGATGGAGGGTCCCATGATAGCGGGGCAGGATTTGGTCCAGGTCCTTGCTGCAGTTTGGCTTAATTGGCGCAGAAGCCTCATGGCAATTGCCTGGTTCCATCTTCCTCTGAGGAGTCCCACGGCCAACATTCCTCAGTACTGCTCCCAAGCCTAACCAATTGTTATGAAGCATTTGGGAGTTCATTTTTAAACTGGAAAAATAAGATGTTTTTATTGTATAAATAGAACACATCACCAGGGGGTAGAGGCAAGAGGTTCCAAGTGTAAAGAAATATTTAACCCGCTGAGACTTTCCACCTCAGTAGGGATCTTTCATTCAAAGTAGAAGAAAGAGAAATGCATTACTAGTTCATCATTGTGTCATTTTTCCTATTCATTGGAATAGCTATCTCAGTATTTCATGTCGTTAAGACAGTAAGTTCAAAACAGTCATGGGGAATTCACTTACAGTAAATTGATTAGTTAATTCCTACCGGATGCTGAGGTTTAGGTTTTCTTAATCCTGTGTTAAAAAGGTACACATGTATTTACCCACTGATGTCTGTAAACTTAGAATCAGCAAATTAGAACATAGGGTTGAGTATTGCTTGCTTTTATTTTGCTAGCCCCTGGCTATTGAATCCCACATTGATCATAGCGCAGAAGAGAAGGAACTGAAGAGAAAATTAGAAGAATTAGCAAGTAACATAACTGAAAAAGCTGTATCTTCTGATGAAGAAAATACCGGAAAGAAGACTGAAGAATCCAAACCAGAAATGAGCTCATCCAATGATGACCTTCCTCCTGATGCTAAAAAGGTATTGTCTTCTGTTGCATGTGGTGGTCTTTACCCTCCTTTCACCAAAGCTCTGTTCAGGCATCCACCATACAATGTGCCCTACTTCCCTGTAAAAGCCAATTTTGACACCTCTTCAACAGAGACATCCATGTGTTCAGTGAGGGTTTGTGGACCAAAAAAGCACGAAGACTTCCACGCAAGGGAAGGGTGCTGTCGGAATTTGAAAAGATGTATGGCTGTATTTATGTGAAGGTCTTTTCGATGCAGAGAGCCTTGCTGAACGTGGGGCTCTCTTTGTAGGTTAGATCTCACAAGCATGACTTTGGGGTGTAGGCCTCATCCCCAGTATGCATATAGTTTATGTGAAGCCTTTCTGTAATGCCTGAATCAAGCTTTTCACACATTTGAGTTTATGTGTTTTGCTTGAAAAGTAACCAGCTTGCTTTGATTGTGTAATTCAGCTAACTCTGGCAATCTGAGTGTGGATTACTTACGATGTCACTAATAATAACTAGAAAATATCCATTTTATTTTAATCACCATGTGTACAATATAGTTTGTAAATCCAGTTCTTGGGTTCCATTAATAAATAACAAACAAAATGTAACATTGGGAGATCCATGATAAATTCTCCTGCTGTTTGTTTTGTAAAATTTGATAGCAGTCAGGAGCACTTGGGATGTGTTGTCAGTTGTTCCCCTTTGCTATTTTAGTAGTGAAATTGCTCATTCATTGCAGTCCAAGAGTGGAACTTCAAAACACACTTCTTTGAACCCAGTGGACTTTCTTCTGAGTCAAAATGAACAGGGTTGTGTAAGATTAAAGTAATAGTGGATTTATAGTAAAGCTTCTCCAGCATAATTTTAGAAATGCTAATCGATTAGCCTTGCCTAACCCATTAACCAAGATTTGCCAAAGAAACATTATTTACTGTTATGACTTCAAGCAGGGATTTATGAGGTATTTCCATCTCTGATTCCATGAGTCTGTGGACATGCCTTGGTAATTTGGGCAGATCTATTTCTGATTACAGTAGAATCAAATTTAATTGTAGGATGGAAGAACTTGTGCATCTTTACTGCTTCCTAGCCCTTCAATGGATGCTCTTCTTTTTGAAGTAATCTGTTAACACAAAGAGAAGTTTGCATGCATGTACCTTTTGAGTTCTAACGGCTTTTTCTCCCTGTTGCTGATGTTCTTAATGAACAGCTTTAGCATGTAGAAATTGGTCTTGACTTAGGCTACCTGCCTCCATCTGGGAAAGGCTATTCTCTGACCTGCCCAGTAGGTAGAAGCATTTTTCTTCCACGAGATATTTTATATTGCGCATCTATCTTATGGCAAGATGGTAAGAGGTTTGTTGGGTTTTTAGTACATAGGTCTTAGAAGATAAAGAGGTCCTGCTGCACAGCATTCACATCATTGATGCATTCCAGCTCTTGGAGCTCTTGAAGTAGTGGGAAGGGGGAAAATATGTCAGATAATCTAAACTGCTAATCTGAATTTAGTTCAGAGGTTTTGGTGAACTCTTCAGCTCATCTGTCCTATTTCTGAATGACAGAGGTGGTTAACAGGTCTGTCTGTACCAGCAATTCATTAATACTCTCTTCAGCTTCTCTCTGTTTTGTCTTACGCTCAAGATTATGGCCATTCTTGTCAAGTATGCAACATTCATTCATTCATTCCATTTATATAGCCGCCCATCTCACATTCATGATGTAACATTGCTCCATGTTAACTTAAAATTTTGAAAACTTTTGTGTGGCTATTTTATTGTTACTTTCTGCATCTTCCCTTAGTTCATTAATCATGCTTTATTCCTATTGCAGTTGTAGACTGATGTGAATATGGACAGTGAAAGAGAAAAGGCAATTATTTTTGGAGCATTGAACAAAAAGTCACAACTATGCTAGCAGTTAAGGCTTTCAGCAGTGACTGTTACAGCCTTTATATTTCCTCAGTGCTTACAGTCTTACAACAGACACAGATTTCAACAATTTATTACCCTTGATCATTCATCCCTGTAGAGGCTCTGCACATTGCAAAAGCAAGATGGACTTCATCATCTGTATCTTTGTTTCTGTCTCCTACAAAGGACTTTGTTTGTGAATGGGTGGGCTGCAGTCCTGAAATGTGTGTTCCATGAGAACTAGATACTAAAATGTTCTGAAGAATAGATATAGACTGCTCTAGCCCTCCTGAATTCATCCAGAACCTCATGACATGGAAAGAAGGCAAAGCAGCCAGAAAACAGTGGTTGAGCAAAGCTCATCAAGCTATTCATGACGATACTGAATGCATTGTTAAACTACTGCTGATTGACTACATTACAAAATAATACAGGGAAGCCTAGCGGCGGTTATATAGAGCAAAGCAGATTCTAAAACATGATTTTTTAAAAAATATCAGCAAACTAAATGAACATGAAAGTGAAGGTGGTATACTTCGATTAGGATGCTCTGATTTGAATTCCCCTGTTTGAAGATACCTTGATTTTATTTTACTGGCATTCCTTCAGTAAGTGCTTATATTCCATTTCCTGTAGTTTGGTTTTCATTGCTTTGTGGAGGTATCAATTTGTTCATGTATCGGTGTCTCATTGTGAACCTTAGCTCTCCCACTTGCCTCTTCAGCACAGAGACTGCAACCCAAAGGAAAAGATGTGAGAGTAGCAGAAGGGTCCAGACAACCCTTGGACAATGGTGAAAAATGCTACACTTTCCAACTCTAGACAGAAAAACTTGTAATCTTCACAGCTATATGTCTAACATATTAGAATGTTGAGTTCTGTGAATGTATGTACACAAATATAGAAGAGTATCTCCTCTCTAGCTCCAGGATTATGCTAATCCCCATGGCCATCATACTGTTCTATTATGCCCTGACATAACAATCTTTGTGCATTTTATTTATGTGGCATTTCCCAACCTTCTGCCTTGGTCTGGTGACCAGCTGTGTTCAGCCACCCTCCTGACCATTTCCCTGTTCTTACCATCTTTCCATTCCTACTAGAAAGTCCTAAGAGCAAGAGGTCAGCAGCATTGCCAGCTTACCCAAATTATTAGAAACACAAATTCACTAATACTGGCTACTATTATTGTACAGAGTACCAATAAATAGTGCCTTCCAGGATGTGAGACAGTTACTTTGAAAATGTTACAGAGCTAGCAGAGGATGCCTCTGAACAAGGTTCATCATGTGCAGTTGATGTTGTGCAGCCTACGTGGGCTACGTGAAAATCATGACATTTAAAATCCTTTTCATCAAAGCTAAAGCCACGTCAAGAGATGTCTTCTAGTATAGACACAAAGCATCTGTCAGTTCAACATGCAGATTGGTCATTGGAGGAAAGCATTTCCTAATCCAAATTGATAGCAGAGCTTAAAAGGTAGGCTGATACAGCAGGCTACCTTCATCTGAATGATGAGCACCCGCAGATTATTAAGCACAGTGAACTACATCAGAAGTCACAACAAGACTGAAGAGCACAAGTTTATCCTAAACTCCAAGAATCCATCGTTGCAATAAATTCTCAAACAGAAAGGGGGAGGGGAATAATCAATAGCCTGATGGCAGTTCACTTTCTAACATATTATTCTCTAGAAGAAGAACAAATAAAGAAAATCATGCAGATTTGCATACATGGTAACACCAAGACTGGAGTAATGAATGTTCTGTATTCTTTTTGGAGAGGTAGTAGAGGCTGCCTCTGGGATGGGCTGGTGTGAGGTCACCTTAAGAATGTTCTGGGCGTTCTTTGAGGGCCTGTTTTCTGGGAAATGCAAGGAAGGAAGCACTTAGAGCACCCTAGGTCTTAGCGAAGTGCAGCTTTTCCTTCTGGGGATGAAGCTGGGCCTGCTAGGGTTATCTTCTGTTCACAATGGTCACTTTTTGCAAATACCGTCCACAATAAGCAGGAAAGTACCTACCTAGAGTTTTAGCGGGTTGAGGCAGCCTATAAATCCCATAAATTAGCCTGTATTCTCTGTGAAGGACAATCCATACAATATATCTAAACAATGTTGATCTGTCCTGCTATGAGTATTAAAATGTGTTTCAGGAAAACAGGTAGCAAATAGCAAGCTAAGGCTTATTCAAAAATACTAATATAGGTAAGTTATTTTTAGAAATGCAAAGTATATTACATTTATGTTACTGTGTTACACATAAAATGAGAATGGAGTGTAATGATAATCAAAAACCAATTTAACAACTCCATATTTAGCTATGTGCCTGTTAGGATGGTACTTGATTTCAGCAAACCTTTTGATACCATATTTTTTCTGCTTACTTGACAGCATTTATAAGATTAAAATCTGACATCCCAACCTCTTGGTTCCTGTTGGCTTTTGCCCGTTAATCTAGGAACTAGGAACTGGATGTTTGTTCAAAATCTAAAAATGCACTGCATACATTTTCAGCCTAAGAAATTACTGGAGATCATAACTTGGACGCTTCCACAATCACAGTCATAAAGTATAAAATAGATGGAGAAGATGGGCAAGTGTGGAATGTGATAACCTATATTCAAAGGGAGTCTGCTGCACCAAGTGTGTTCCTTGGAGCACTGGCAATATGCGCTGTCTGCAGAGGAGCCAGCTCAGTCCTCGGTATCTCAGGCAAAATTGATTAAAACCCTCTGGGTGATACCGTTCAGAACTACTGTCACCACAGACAGTCCTGAGCTGAAGGAAGCAACAATCTGATATAACAGAAGAGAGCCTCCTTTGTTCCATTCTTGTTCCTGATAGAACCAGAGTTTTGATGTAATAGTTTTATGCATCTGTTTTCTAAGTAACTGCAGCAGCTAGATTTTGGAAGAGTTGTATATTTTCTTTGTTTATTGAAATACAAGAATATATGAAAGAAAGGATCTATGTATGCAAGATGAAAATGTCTTTTGATCTTGATTGACATTACATATGGTCAAACTGAGGCAAATACGGATTTCACTATCCTCCCCAATGATCTTTTTTCCCCTATTGTTTTGATTGCTCACTTCAAATGTCTAATTTCCAA